GGCCGTCACCGCACAATTGTGACCGTTCAAGTGGAATCAAGTGCACTAAACTTCCATTACTTTTGTCAGAGTTGCGCCTACAGACATCCGTTAACAGCATTGTGAGAACTCCTGCCATAATAACTATTAACTAGTGCTGTATTCATCTCTTTGAGCACTAATCTACTGGATGCGGGTTCCCACGACGTCTCACGGTAATAACGGGAACATATTCTGTAAGGTACAAAGACCAGCCGACTGCGGACATTCAAATTATATACTTAAGTCATATTTATAATGTAAGGCAACTCTCCAATCTTGTCGTTACGTACCGTTCCCGCAGTCTTTAAGACTCTCTTGAGAATCTCCGGATCACACAACTTGTGATCATAATCAATACAGGAATTTAATATTTGTTGAGCATTAAACTGTCTACTTCTATTCATACATCATTTACTTACGCTATCAATTCTCTATTTCCAGGGCCTTTCGGTCATTTATGAAGAAAGGAAAGAAGGGGCAGCAACAAACTTCCTCAGAAAAATCAGCGAGCAACAATCAATTAAATGGGGAAACTTCGCCTATTGTCTACAGAAGAGCGCTGCAATGTAAGAATAGTTTATTCAATACCTACAGCCTACACTACAATATAGACATAGGACACTTACTTACGTGACCTAGGTTATGTCATAGGCCCATTGTATCTAATTGAGAACGAGTATATTGAAGTAATACAATTAACTACTGCTATACAATACCTTCTTTACCATAAGGGCACCCGGGGCCCGTGCCCAGGGGCCCCATCCTCAGGGGGCCCCGGAGGACCTACAATTTTTACGACAAACCCGCTACACGTTCGATTTCAATTCCCGCACGAAGCAAATTTCCATTCTCCACTGTTTTGTTGTTCCGGGTCTGGGTGTCATGTGTATGTGAACTTGTATGCTAGTAAATGCACTCACAATACAAGAGAACATCCTGGTATAGAGCAACGTTACAAAAAGGAACATTCCAAAAGGGCCCCCAATTATTGTGAAACAATTGAAACAAGCGAAACAAGTAAAACAAGTTAATTTATTTCTGCAAATAGGCTACAAGGCAGCACTTTTACACGTCAATTTTATAAAGCGAACGATGAAGTCGACATTTCCTAACTGACTACTCTGAGAAGAAATGCCGAAACAAACTCAAAGGTCCGTCTCTTCAAATATGTAGGTATAAAAGATCAAGTGTGAGAACCGTGCAAGTTCTTTCTGTAGTGGCCTTTTGAAGAAAGAACCACAACAGTTTGAGCGGACCCTTTCTGAAGGCAGTACGCATGTGTTGTTTTACAATCAGCGCAATTAACAGGTGAGGCTGACTGATCCGACGAACATTGTGTACCTAATTAAGGGCCCCAGCGTAGTCTAAGACGGCCCTGCTGCTATATTATACTTACAAAGATACTACTGGGCCATCGATGTCTAGGGTAATACAAAAATGTTTTCTGTGTTTTCGGAGAAGAATGGCTTTCCTAAAATTACGTAATTTCATGACGTCGTCAGCAACACACTTGCGGTGCCTCTGAGGTTGCATGTGAACATTGGATACGGCGATTGCTGTTCCATAATCTGTACTAAATCGACCGTTTTGATAGATATACTGGAAAGACGCTTACCATCAGCTTTAAACCTTTTGCCACTAAATAATTGGAACATTAATGGGTTCCAGATTCAACAGCGTCGACGACAGGTGCTCGGAGTACAGTGGGGTCTCCTGATCGCTATGTGTACGGTGGCTCCATCACTCCCCTGCCTCGCTCCCGGTTTCAAGAGCGACTTAGGAGTACCAGCCATCATGAAGTTCAATCGTTGAGGTAAGATTATCTTTTTGAGTCAGCAAAATATTTTAACTAGCCTTAATTTTTGTACTAACGTTGCTGTTTGACGACGTTACTCGACTAAATTCAAGGCACACCAAGAGCCCATAATAATGAGCGGCCTTTGCGATGCTCGCTAACAGAAAAGGGCTGTATAATTAGTTACATACAAACGTGACATATCTTACCTGTCTCAATCATTATTATGCTTTAGAATAATCATTGCCGAGATATAAATACAAGGTGACCATGACTTATGTGACTTTAACTTATTGCTTAAGAAGAATATACCTAGATACAAGCTTATGTGCATAAAACCATAACCTTTGATGTCGATAAGGAAAATCTTATTTTCCTTATGATTTGTTTTATGACCTGTGGGCTATAAGGTAGGTAGTATAAGGTGTAATTTCCCAATACCTACTTATTATACTGTTTGGGTATATGTACATAATAACCGGGGCTCCGGCTCGACGTGCAGGAGAAGGAACGGTTTTTAGTCAGTAAGAGTCATTCGATGATTTTCCCCCCTTAAAAAAACCCTACTTTTTAAGGTATATTAGACGACAGGCAACCTTCGACATTTAATAAAAATATTTTTTATAAAAGAAAACGTGTGTGCATAAATGTTGGCTAAAAAATTAATATCCATTTTTTAAATTTCCAGTACAACCCCGCGCTTGGCCCGAAGCGAAGTGTCAGGGTCTCGACTGAGCGTTGAGAGTACAAACCCGTTCGACGAAGATGGACCTGTACCTCCTGTCCGAGCCTCAAGACGTAAGAAAAAGCGCGCACCTCTACCACCTGGGCCCGTCTACACGACTCCTGAGTCAGCTGATACAACGGTACGATCCTTTGTTAAGTGTTTTGAACACTTGTCTATTCGTAAAAAAGATCAATAATGAAAAGGTCTGATTGTTGAATTGACTTAAGTAAACCATTCATGGAATCACAGGATCCCGAACACTTATAAGGCTCAACGGGAGCCCAAAAACCTGTTTAGACGACTTTGTTCGTAAATGAAATTATATTTTGTATCGTGCAAATTGGTACAAATGCTAAGTCAGTTATTTAATTTGTCAAAACTAGGAGACGTCCAGTGAGTCACCACAAGAGCAATAAACCTACATAGCTTCAGAACACATTGGTATTCAGAATATTGGAATTTACAAAAGGTGTTACAAAATACGGTGATATTGTTGTCTAATCGCAGAAAAAATTACACAGCACTGCTAAATTATAGCATTGATGCACTCGCATAACAAAAGAATTTAATGGTTTATAAAAATGTTGCATTTCATATAGGGGTTGATATGGAAAAGCAACTGTTTTATACGCTATTTAGGTATCTTAAGATAATTATTTAAAGGTTAAAGGGTACTTAACGCTTTGTGTAATACTATTTATTGACCACCGCTACTTGTCCGTATTATTCACGATTCTAACATACTACAGGACAAGGCTCAAAATGGCCTTAAACATAACTCAAAGTTTCAACTAAAACTAATCAGAAAGACGTGTTTCTTTAACGGGAACTTGACATTTTACAGGTGACCAGTGTGACTTCAGAACTAGAAATAAGTAAAACCGAGGACAAGAAATTGAATAACACTGATGGCGATTTAGAAATAGAAGACATGAACTTGAATATTGAACTCAAAATAGTCGAAGATGAAGATGTGAAAGACAAAACAGAATCTGTAGACGATAAGCCAAAGAGTCCTGATGCCGTTAACAATAATACTGAAGTCTCGGTAACTACGACGGAAAAAGTAGAAAACGAAGAAACAAAACCTACTGAATCCAAAGAAAGCGAAGTAACACTTAGAAGTTCATCGGAAGAGGACATCCTAAGCTCAGCCGCATTCCCTAAAATAGACATCGTAACATACAGACGTAACTCTAGCGTTAATGAAGATGACATACGATTACGACGAGGTAATTTAGAGGACTTTCAGACACTTAATAATAAAAGAAGTAAGAGCCTCACTAATGCCTTAGACACGACTTACACAACATACGATATTAACTTGAATGAGAACATCGTGCACACTAATGGAAACGACGCACCGCAGAAAGTTGTATGCAAACTTTATGAAGATCCACAAATTAAAAAGAGTATTGAAACAATATCAAGTACAGAGAAAGAGTTTTTGGAAATAGACAGAGCTACTAGAGAGCTTGAGAGAGAGATAAACAAACTGAACTCCGCCTTAAACGAAGACGATATTCCAAGCGTAGAAACAAGACTGTCGGTGTCGGAAATCAAAAGAAGGTTCGATAAAAAGGATGCATCGTCACCAAACCCAATACCAAAGCCTAGAAGGAGTCACTACGGAGGCGGCTCAAGTACTCCATGAGTCCATGAATGTTAACCAAATGTAACTTAAATATGGCTGTTTTACTGTGGACCCTACAATAGGAACAATTTTATTTAGTACATCTTGTATGTTGTGCGCGGTTTGCTATTAAAAAGTAGAACTATATTTATATTATACTTACCATATCAATAAACGAACAACGTATTAGCTATTAGTATTTGTAGGAAAATGGCCTTAATATATTACATACAATGAACATAATACAAATTACCATAATTTGTTATCTAGAGAAAGTCAATGAGTTTTACTAGTATTTAGTAGATAAGTACGATGTGTTGTAATATGTGATTTTTAGGTAATAACGATCGGTTTAGACGTAATCGGATCTCAAACATTCGCAAAGGGGATTGCAATAGGTACTGTAACGATGCAGTTTCATAATAAATGCTTAACTAAAATTCTAGTGCCTTCGATATAAATACGTAAATGACAGAAAATAAATTGTTTGGCCATAAAATATTATGAATATTTAGCGGCGTAGTATAATTTATTTGTGATAAATATTTTATTATATTGAATGTTGCTTTGGTAGTACGTAATAGTCACCGTCACGTGAGAAAATATGTTGTTATTATAAAGAATGTGTACCTATAGTAAAATCAGTGAATGGTGACATAGTACACTATAATTTTGTGTGCAAAACTCCTAATTATTTATACAAATGTTCACAATGGGATTAGTTATTTGTTAGTTCAGACATTGTTGTTTAATAAATTATTATTCTATTGATACCATGGTGTTTTATTGTGTTAATAGGATGCGTTTAAATAAAACAAATTACATAATATGTCTTGTAAAAATATAATAATATGCATATCAGTGGATACAACATAGAATATTTGAAATATATCAACATATTGATACTTACTATTACGACAAACGCTTATAATCTACTTATTCTATCCTTCTTATACTTGATGAATCTGGGTAAGTTTGATGTTGCAGTGCTGACAAGGACCTTGTATTCTTTTGGAAGCCTTTTCTGTTGCCTTGCCTGGAAATACCACAATCATTTTAATTTATTGTAACTTGACTCTCTGAAAGCTCAAGCCAGAGTAAATTTTCACCTATTATTTACAAACTATTTCAAAATTACCTTATTTTTGAGTATTGGTGCTAGAATGGCCAATTTATCAGTCAATTTAACTTTAGCTGCTAAAACATCAGTTTCATCTTCAGAGTAAACATCAACAAGAGTGTCTATTGCTTCAGCCAGAACCCAGACTTCATTCTCCTTATGTGCTTGTTCTAATATAAACTCTGTTATGGTACATATAACGTTGCTAGTGACGTCATTCAGATTATTGACTAACAGTAAAGCCAGAATCCCAACCATGCGGATTAGGTTCGACCTTATCTCTGGCACTTGACATTCCTTAATACCTGTAAGCATTAGCTGAAACAAAATGACGACATATTTATTTCGGATAATAGATTACATGGTGTTTATACAAAAACGTAATAAAGTAAAAGATTATTTAAAAATTTTAGCTTAAATTGAGATGGACCCAAGATACACCCTTGGGAATCACATCATTAAACCAGTATAATTCATTATAAACAATTCCAAAAATTAAAAAAAATTCTTCCATATTTCAGTCAGAATGAATTTACCTCAATATCTGATAAAGCCAGATCACTGAACAAGTTACAGTCATTGCTGTTCCCACTATCTCTAAACTTGATCTTATCTAAAGCTGCTCTCATGACTGCTGTAGCTGATTCTGCTAGATTTTCATTTTCCGGGTCTTGCTTGAATGCTAATTTTCCTGTATCCACCCAAATTTTATAGACACCATTCACACCACCAAGGTTTTCAATAGGAAGTGTGGATAACAGATTATTTATACACAGAAGTGCTCGAGTTTGTAAGCTTAGTAATCTGAAATTAAAGAAATAGTTAAAGGACATACACATCATAAAAATACTTAACATACCATACATAAGAAGTCTATTTCAAAAATGTATATGTACCTCTTGTAAATCAATTGTGATCCATCATACTCCTTCAATATTAACATAACATTCTGTGCGGGCAATTGTGTTCTAGCCCAAACTTTATCAAATACTTCCAATGAAATAAAAGCTTCCATCATTTCAGGTGGTAGTTTATCTTCTGCAAGAACACCTTCATCACCATTCTCACAAAGTTCTTCATCAGCTTCATCACTTTCAGAGGAATCATTGCCTTGATCATCACCATCTGCAGGATAAATATTTATATGCATTAAACCTACACCATATCTTGTATTGTAAGCAAATATAAATTGTATTAGAATGTCCTTACCTTCACATGAACAAATATTGGCAATAATTTCTATGGAACTTTGTTGGGCTGTTAACATTTGTGTCACAGATTGTATCTGACTATCTAACTGTTGTGCTGCTTTTCCTTTAGGTGCTTCAACTTTCCCAGAACCGTCACTCAAAGGCACATTACTAGAAAGCTGACTACAGATGAGCCTGTGGTCTACAGACAGAGTATTAGCTAGAATAGTCATTATTCTCCGAATTACATCAACTGGCAATGTAGTTATATTGCCGCCACATGTGTTGATAATCACTCCTGCTGCTAGCGTTTTTACTAGTAGTACTGAAGGATCAGTGCCCTCTAGTCCCAACAAAGTTTCCAGTTGCTTTTCAGCATTAGACTTTATTTTATTCATTGCTGCCGGATTGTCTTCCACAACAACAAACAGACATTGTAAAACTGCTGTCACTATTTCACTGGAGAAGGTGCCAAGATCTAAGTAACGAGGGAGGATATCTAATATTCTAGACTGGCCCAGGTATTTTACTGCAAGATCTGTAAAAGAAATAATATTGATGTAAGTAGGCGTATCACAGGAAATAATGGATTATGATATTTTCGTGATTATTTCAAACATTGTCCTCACCAGAACTTTCGCACAAATTCAACAGTAAATTGACACACTGGATAAATGTATCGCTATCTTCATCTTTTGTTTTAGAATTTGGATCAGGCACCCAACTTTCAGCATGCTGGAAGAAATGGAAAATTAATGCTGTTAATATTTTGTTTCTAACCACAAACTTTATCATTATTATTTTAACTCATAAATCCCCAAGCGGTCACCGGTGACCGCTTTCCACTAATATTACTTTGCATAATAGACCTTATTTCTAATGTTTATAGAATACTTTTGTATGATCAAATTTAGGGGATGGATATCAACGGGTTAAAACATTCTTTTCTCTTTAGGTTACACTGTACACCTTTGTTTTTCTAGCACTTAAGTTACATAGTGTTATGCAATTATTACACAACAAACCTCATGGAAATAGCATGTCACTGGAGTCATAACGTCTTGCTCCATCATAGCATCACAGGTTTCCATGGCAACTGTAGACAAATTTCGTAATGCACCAGCTGCTGCATTCCTCACAGAACTGGCTGGATCAAGCAACAATGGAGCTGCGACTTTAACTAATCCTCGATTTATAATCTGTGGTATGTTTTCTGGGTTCTCTATTAGCATAGCAAAAGTTTGTAGACCACAGTATTTTTCTTCAATATCAGCACCCTAAAAACCGTTTAAACTTTATAGATTACATCGAATACAAATAGATAATGCAAGCAAATTTCATTTATATTACATCTCTATACATAAATAATGATAAATAAGGATAAATGTAGTTAAATATTTGAAATAAAGCAGGATGAACCAACATAAACTTCAACTCCACTTACCTGTAACTGATCTAGTATAGTTTGAATGGCATTTTCTTTGTTGTCAACAGGCAGTTGCTCTTCCTCATCACTATTATCCGCTGCCAAACTCCTTTTCGCTCTAGGAGGTTTAGATTTCCTAATTTTACCCATTTTGTAGAAGTAAACCTAACCCTCAAATTCACAAACCAACAACACGTGTGGCTGTGTCAAGCAAGTGTCAATTGTAACTGACAGTCTGTCTGACACTGACACACGTCTAACGTCAATCAAGAATGATAGTGACATTAGTGACAACGACAGCGTTCGCATTGTAGCATATTTTATTTCATCCTTCATACTAAAAAATCTTCTTATACTTGTGCTTGTATGAAGAAGTGGTGGCCAGGAGGTTTAAGACGCCCATTTCTCATGCATATGGGTTCGGTTTCGAAACCTACGAACGGCAAGTACCAATGTGACTTTTCCGAGGTTTAAACATACGTTCCAAGATTATTCAAACACCACTGACAAACGGTAAAGGAAACATCGTGAGAAAACCTAGCCGTTTGTTTGTTTGTCACCGATGTTTAATTTTAAGCCTAGGCCTATAATTTCTAATTATAAGTTTAAAATCACCGACCTGCATTGAGCAAACCTTCTCCGTGTGATAAGAGGCTTTGCTCACTAGTGAGCATTTATAGGCTGTTGATGTATATAAAGAATATTCTCTTTAACGATAGTAGCCGTACTATATTAATACATAAAATACTTATTAAATGTCCCACATACCTACAAGCGAAAAAGGTTTTGTTGAGAACTAAACTTACTACTTAACTTAAAATCTTAAAACTTGAGATTTCAATATCCTATTCAATCATTTCAATCCATAACCTTCTATGGATATCAATATGTTCTGTAATAAAAACGTATGTTGTTCATAAATATGAAAACATTTTACTCGAACTGGTTTTACTTTTTTTAATCGGATACACAGAAATCTAAAATAGCGACAAAAGCAAATGTCATAATTGTTTTTGTCAATATTTTATATGTCAGGCAACAACACTTGTTTAATATTTAATAAATTTAGTTTTTAATTATAGATCTACACTAGTTTTGTAATTCCTGTCATTTGTATACTTAATTAATTATTAATTTGTTGAATTTTCATTACTTATTGTGAACAATGGTAAGTAAAAAAAATATACTTCGAGGGTTTGCAGGAACAATGATTGGAGATCGATTCATCGATTATTGTGTACATACATAACATCTTGGCATCTTGTTACACTTTAACCTGCCTTTTCGTCACCTGGGGGTAGTCAGGTCCACAGCATATACAGTGTGTCACACAACAAGTCCAAAAGGGTTTTAGTAAGTAATATAGGAACATACTGTAAGTAGACAATGTTACTAATTATAAAATTCATCATTTTATTTTATTAAATAATTCTAACTGCATACATTTTTAAATGATCGAGTTGGACTGGGAATCAACATAACATCTCGGGCCAAGTCCTCTTGCTCGGTAGTTGCTGCCTAGGCAGTCAAAGTCAACAATGTGCAATAAACTGCATGTCCAATTCTGTCACTTGTTTAACCATGCAGTCAAATGCTCAAAAAGTTCCATTGCAGGTGTACGACTATTTCGACAAATATACCTTTTTGTGTGAAATGTATGATGAAGAGGCGGATAAAATAATAGAATTGGTCTTAAATTATTTTCCTTTCGATAATTCATGTCAAGTAATAGACGTGAAAAAAGGAAAAAATCTTGTGAGTCGAGTACAGCTGCCAACACTCAAATTGGAAATGTTGGAAATTGGCAATATAATAAATATATTTTCCAAATTGCTCCTTATCACAGATTGCGCACCTGCTACTCGGAAGACACTGTTTTATAAATACGAAAGGTTAGTGAAAATTAAACTCTTATAAACTTCCTAACGCATACTTGTTAACTTATTACATTCAATCTACTAAACCTACAGCTACTTACCTACCTTTTTTTTGAGGGGGAAATTGTCCTATGACTTCTCCCACCCGGGTGAGACGAGAGGGAGTGTCAGACTCTTACTGACTAAAAACCACCGCGTTTTTCTACTCCTTGTTTAAGAAATAACCAAATTCCCCACTTGAATAGACATTCACGAACCTACTTTCATTTGCAGTACTTTCGCCCTTATAAAACCAGTACCACCAGATTTACATGGAAAAATAATAACATTTATAACAAAAAATGGGTTCCGTATAGTGCGCATGAAGAATGGAAAAATTAACAAAGATGGCGCATTGGCACTTTATAACCACATTTCTGGAAGTAGTATGCTCCCGTAAGTAGACGGACCCAGTATGTCAGAATTAGACCAATTTCAAATTAATGATGATGTTTTTCGGCTTACTCACGTAATTATTTGACCGAAGAACTCGACTGGTTTCATACTATGCTAGAGGCTCATATTCATGAGCAGCATTCCGCGACCCGAGACGAGGCGACTATCGCGCTGCTACTGACATTTTATATTTAAAAATATCTTAGTTTCGTCCAAACTACAACATATGCAAGCTTTTTTAATTTCATTCCATATTCCGTGATATCGATCATAACACAAATTTTAGAATTATAGTTGACTACGTAACTAGTGGCGAAGTGATTGGACTAGAGCTGGTGGGACGCAACGCAATACAGGAGTGGCGGCGCTGTTTAGGGGCGACAAACCCCGCTGAAGCTGAGCCTGGTTCTCTAAGACACTTATACGGAGAAAATACGCTTCGAAACATTGCCCACGGTTGTACCACTACACAAGACGTTGCTGACGTAGGTAGCCTTTAACCGCTTAAATGCATCGATATGAGACACAATATAAAATATATCTGCTTTAATATGTTTTAACCCATCGTGTGTCTAAACGTGGATCCACGCGAGACACAATATAAAATATATAAAATATATTGTGTCTCACGTTTAGACACACGATGGGTTAAAACATATTAAAGCAGATAGAAAAAAAACGATTTTTCCCAAAATTCTAATGCTTTCCTGTATCAAGCCCAATAAAGTAAGCTGTATCACCCGAAGAACTTCATTGAAATTGGATAGGTATCTATTTTTAACAATTTACTCAATAATGAGTTCATTATTAACTAGATGTTGGAGTTATTCTTCGGATATGAAAAGGGGCACGTGCCACGCGTCCCATACAGAGCGACATTCGAGAACTGCACTTGTTGCGTGATCAAACCTCATGCCGTACTGGAAGGCAACGTCGGCGCTATCCTGGAACAAATAACGACCTCTGGAAAGTTCCATATCACCGCCATGGCCATGTTTTCTGTTACATTGTCTAACGCTGCAGAATTTTATGAAGTTTATAAAGGAGTTTTGCCTGAATACGAGGTTTGTATATCCATATACTTAAGTTGTCAGGTGGCTACATCTCATATTGGTGTTGGTCTTCATCAATCGTAACTAATCGTAAGACACGTCGATGGGTAATCTTCACAGAGCTTAGCGCGTAAACTTGTGAAACAACATTCACTTAAAAGCAATAATGACCCATTTATATAAATATATTTAGAAAAATAACCAATTTCAGGCGATGAGCATTCACCTGGCGGAAGGCAAGTGTGTTGCCTTGGAAATCAAATCTGCTAATCCCGAGGAGAACTGTATCTGCGCATTTAGACAATTATGTGGACCTCGAGACCCGGTATACCTACTTTTATATGTGAACTTAAAACTATTCCTTTTTGTTGCTAATTCTTGAAAGCAAATTATTGCCTGTTCAAAATATGCGTATTCCCATCAATACAATAGACAACTTCAGACAGAAGACTGTAAATTTATGCTGATAAAACTCAAAAGGTTGTCCCATATTCCTGTATGGAACATTCACATCAAGTTCATTCTCATACCTTGTATTCAATACTTAGTTGCTTTTACACCCAACAAACATTGATTATTTCAGGATCTATGTCGCCAGTTGTATCCTAAGTCAATAAGGGCTTTGTACGGAAAAACATTAGTCCACAATGCAGTACATTGCACAGACCTCCCTGAAGATGGGGAATCAGAAGTTGAATACTTTTTCAAACTGTTAGCCAATGAATGACCAAATTTTAGGTTTGAAGGTCTGTAGTTCTTTATTTATGTAGTGTTACTTTATTTATAGTACCTAAAATAAAAATTAATTTAAGTAGATTAGATGCTTATTATAGTTAGATAAAACTAACTAAACTAAACAAACGATTTGCAGCAGCCGTTGAACTTGAAAGTAGGTACTGCGTCAACCAACCTGATATTTTTTTACTACCTACCTACGTGCGAAATAGTTAAAGACTACATAACAAAATTTAACATTACGTACACAACAACAGTAGGTAGACTTACTAATCTTAATTATTTAGGCTATGATGTACCAAGGATGATGTAAGTACCAACCTATTTTTTTAAACTTGGGTGATTTAATCGAAGCAAGTTCTAATAAGACAGGAAAAACGTGACGCATTTAACAAGATGTTTCACTATAGTGTTACAAATGAAAAAAAACTACCACCCTTGCGTTGGTACCTACTTACCTACCTAGTTACACCAGCTGATAGATGTTGTGCAAACATCTACAAGGAGAGAGAATAGGATGTGCAAACATCAGACCGCCCGCACGGCGCCATGCACTTCACAAGTTAGGGAACTTTGGAAAATACAAACTGAAATAGTTCATCCCAATCCGAATAATCAGGCAGGATATAGAATTTAATATTGATTTAAGTCTTGAATAAGTTTTACATGATGAGGTAGTTTCAGTTAGTTATACTAATTTTGTGCTTAAATTAATGACTGAGTATAAAATAAAAAAATAATAAAAATAGTAAAAAAGTATAAGTGTAGGTACCTTACCTACCGAACTAACCTACTAGACTGATTGAAGAAAGATTACTATTACCAATCTTTCTTTTCGTCAAGTTATCGTTTGTTATATTAGAAAATTTTAGCAAGTCACTTTTATCTAGCAGATACTGAGAAACGTACAATACTATTCTATCAAAAGTCTAGTTCAATGTGGGATAAATATAAGGTATTCTACAAATAATTCATTGATGGAATTTTTTTTTTAGTTTAATTCAACATTGAGTGTAGCTAATAAAAGAGTTGGGCGGTTGAGCGCGAGTCGCGAGGCAGATGCGGCGGCGTCTTTGTAAACCGCCGACCGACTCATTTACATTTATGTTTCAAAATCTGGCCGCGGGACGGACTTGTCGACTCCCCACTAGTGCTGTCTGACTTAACACCTGTCGACAAATTCAATTTAAATAATTCTCATTACCAATGTTACGTTCTCAGCTTTTCCATTATAAAATTGCTTTTCTCTTTAATGAGGTACGAAGGAGGTCAAGGAGGTACCGATTTTATTCGATATTTCTTTTCCAATATCGATTCTTTTCTTCAATTAGACGTAGAAGGTACTTTTGGAAGTCATAAAGAGGTATCTCTAATCCAGTGTAGTTTACCTTAGTTAGGTCCTGTCTACCTAACTCCCTATTTAGTTCTAGTATTTATTTAGTTATATTATCTTTGCAAATTAAAAATTAATCCTATTTAGTTCTAGTATCTTTGCAAATAAAATTAAATCTAAACCCATTTCTGGCGATTGAAAACAAAAATCGATTTTATAGAGCAGTACACGAGTCGATGCAGGCGACATAACTGACTTCACTAGGGTGCAGCGCGAGCCGGGAGCGGGCGGCGCGCGGCGCCCGGTAGCCGGCTCTCGAGCTTTCTTCATAAATCAAAAAGTTGTTTTTGTGTCTTATCGGCGGATAATCGGCGGCTGCTACCGCGCTGCCGATGCCGCTCACCCCCCTCCCTCGCCACAAGACCGCTATCGCCCGGATGGACATTAACTTTTTGTCGAATTTTAATGGGAATTAAACATAACGAACCGATTATCATTACCTACGTCTCCACCACCACATCCATCGATTTCGGCCCCGCTAAATGGAAGCTATTAAAGGATTTTAATGTAATAGATAACGAAGGGTAATAACTAGAAAACTATGACTCCGCCAGTTTGGAATGCAGGCTCGACTAGACAATGTCGAAATGAGCCTTTGTTTTCGGAGATTAAAAATAAATTCTATTCTTTTAACCATTTTTGGGATTTCAACTTTATGTAAGCAGAAGATTTTGTCCTTGATCATGCTTTTGGACACCGACGTTTTAATTCTAACCTAACCCTTCAAACGCGATACTGTGTAACATTATGATACCTATAGATAATAAATAAAAAAAATATTACTTACGAAGTTATCGAGTGCAGCCCGAACGAGTATTGCATTAGCGGTCCGCAATTTATGAATCTGAATCATTTTAAATCGAAGAAAAAAAATGATGGTAGGTAGTAAAACATTTAACAGGCCAGGCTAATACCACTAGAGCACAAAGTGCTGTAGACAGATAATTTGGTGTAACGTCGAGTGATGAGCGTGGTATATGCGTATCGGCGGCGCGGCTTGGCGGGCTCGCTCGTGTGATCGTGTCAGCACATCTACTTCGCCTAATTGCACCCCCGCAGCGTGATGGATGGTCCGCGCCAGGCTGCCCGGCATCCCCCCCCCCCTCGCCGCACAACCGCGCACCCCTCCCCGCGGCACACCCCACGAACACAAGGGTTGTTCCCAGAAATTCCATTATCATCCAACTCGCCTCGTGTGCCGCTTCATTTAACATTAACAACGCGCCGACTGTTACAATCGTCTTATTGTATTGAACACAGGAGTTTCTGAAATTCCACTATTTGGTTGTTGGTAGGTCAAATTACATAGAAACTGGTGAAAAAATAAGCTTATTTCTAGAAAGTCACCACCACTTACCTACGTATTGGGCCCTGAATCGTTAGAGGACCATTTTACTGGGAAGTGTGTGAGTGATTAATAGATTAAAACTTAGCAAATGCAGTAAAAACAGCAATGAACAAACATTAACTGTCACTTATTCCTTGAAAGTGTAGGTAGAGGTTTACTTTAGTAGCAATCAAACAACTTACGTGGATAACAACTGCTAAGAATTTCAGGACACATAAACAAATAATCAAGTTACCTACTCAAGATACAAAAAAAACTATAAAACATAACTAATTCGCTACTACATTTATGTATATTAGCTAAACTTGTTTAGTGCTATAAAAACAAAAGTTTTACTTTCAATAAAAAATCCGACTAAGTATCAAATTATTTCCATTCCGACTATAATCGATGGATGAGACATCCGACCCCTAATCGCTATTTTAATGTTTTCGGTTTTATGTCTTTCAAAGAAATAACAAAGAGCACTATAGAAATCCATGATTTATAATCGTCGTAAAGAAATGTTTCATGGCACACATTAAATTCTTGAACAAAAACAGGACGTCAAGCTTCCCCAGTAAACCTTATTTTTAATATCTTAGGTATCATTATCTACCGTGAATAATAAAAGGATCAAAGGTTGATTATTATTGTGCATGTCAATATAAATTCCGGCTGTTCGCCTTTTGTGTTGCATTGCGTGTCGTTCGTTCATCAGACGTCGGCGTCGATGGTAACCGTGGGTACAGCACTAACTTAATAAAGGGGTGTTCAAAGAGTGTATATTACAAGGTTGTCGTCAGAAATCCACCCTTTTCCGGTCGACCGAATAGAAAGGAAGCGAAAAAAGATCAATATTTGGACAGAAATTATTATAACGCACACGACCGGACGCGAATACGCTCAGCGGCGCTAATAAAACGTAGAGCAGGATGCGATTTTCGACGGAATCATGTTAACTCGTCTGTTCTCAGCGTTCTCTTGTCACAACAGAGTTGAGTTTTTTACACGTTTCAATTGAATCGGATATCGAGCCCAGCGGTGGTGGCAGTGCAGCTTGTATGCTCCGAGCGAATCTCATTGAACCGGCATCGCGTACTTCCGCAACACAATCCGATCCCGCAGCCATTGAACACGATCCGGTGTTTATTTTTCTCGGAGCTCCAACCCATATAATGGGTTTACAAAAAGAGTGTTTTTTGTCCGCGTGTAATGTCACAAGTTCTCAACTGTAGGAATTAGACCACGTGGTGAAAGATGCTCAGCTTTCATAGGTCCTAGATAATCCATAATCCTTCCATCTACCTGCCAGATGTATCTTCTTTGGATTAGTCTTGAATGAACTGTGTTTTTTAGTCACAATTTCCCAAACCTAGTTGTAAATTGATGTAGGTACTGAAATTGTTTTAAGCCAAGATTAAGCACCTCGAAGAAGAAAAGGCCCTTTATACTTAATAGTACTTATCTATCAAAAACAAAGATCTAAGTATCTATATCTACAAAGGTAAACTTTTCTTTTGCTTATTTACATTCCGCCTAGGCAAGTATAATAATTTCTTTAAAGTTTACACTTTCTGATAATATCTCTTCCTTTATTTACGCTACGGCAATGATTCTGGAGTTATTTAAACAAGTTGATAGATAAAGTGCGATAGGGAGCGGCGTTCTTGTCATGAGAAAGAAAACCGAACAAATAAAGAGATCCTGGTCTCGAGTCGACTGTGTAACACCAGGGGTAGCTCTGATAAAGCAAACAACGAGATACTAAAATTAGACACTTTGTACGTTGAAAACTTTATTGAAATACCGCTTTGTTTGTCGGTGTAATGTAAGGTGTACGTTTCAAAGCAACATTCTGTTGAAAATGTTAAAACAATAATTGCTTAGTAGACGGAAACGTAGATAAGATTAGGCTCTTTCAGCTCCTTTGGCTTATTCAGCCTTTAACCTGTTGGGATCGGAGGTTTGGGTTCTATTTCAACAGATAAAGTACGTGAAGCAGCTTATGTAGTATAAAAAGATATTGCTTGCGGCAAAAAAGAACTCTACCTATTATGATAACAATTTGTGTCTAATATTGCAGTTAATGTTAAGAATTAGAAATTTCCTAGAAAGTGGCCTCACGTCGTCGGTCAGCACGCAAGACGACTGAGCACAAATTCAAACCTGTAATTTGAATATGGAAGGCGGCGCGGCTGGCTGTCCGCTGTCCGGCACCGACTGGCCAACCGGCCAGCCTCGGCTGCCTCATTAAATAAACCACATGAAACTAAACTAGCCCTATCGTACTCTACATTTCGACATCGAAACGTCACTATTGGCTTACTGTAAGCCATTTCTTACCTATTTATACCTTCTTTGAATTTAAGGTCTACCAGTGATATTAGAAAACTACTGACTGATCTCAATAGGA